AAAAAAACTTTTTGAAGCTGATCTACATTTATTCTCACCACACCACAGCTTAACTCAAGCTCCGAGAACCACCTGACCGGTTACAGAGCACAAGAAGCAGCATCAACTAGCATCCCTCCCCATTCACGCTGTTGTTTTCCACTCGGAATCATCACAGTTGCTACTTGGGGTGGGGGGCTGACAAGGTACGGCTGCACCATTCTCCTGCCCAGTGCAAGATGTCAATGCTCAGAAGAGAACAAATTCTTTTTGTTTGATTAATTCGTAGATTTTTATCCCACCTTTATTTTGTACAACTCAAGGTGGCATACACAATGCTCCCTTTTCCTATTTTCCCCATGACAGCAATGCCATGAGGTGGGTTGGGCTGAGAGAGAGAGAGAGTGAGTGGCCCAAAGTCATTCATCCAATTTTCATACCTAAGAAGGACTAGGACTCACAATCTCCTGGTTTCTAGCCCAGCACTTCGCCACTGCACCACACGGGTTCTCATTACTGAGGTCTTTTAATTTAAATTAGCGCTAAAGGCTGTTAGGAATTCCTCCATTTGGGACACTCCAGCATCTCAAGCTGGGAAGCAGCACCTTTCCAATGTGTACTGTTTGATGGCATCATTTATATAATTGGGGAATGTAGAATGTATTAGGTTTCTCGTCATTTAAAGACATGGAATGACCCTTTTGTTTTTCCCCCTTCTGCAGCAATATAACCAACTGGAAGTCCATTTGACAGGCGCCTTCTTGGCTTTTGTAGTTGGCATCCTTTATTTCTGGGTCCAGACCTTTCTGACCAACCAAGTGAAACCAAGACATGGAGGGAGATGGATTGGACCACTCCGGTTCTTTCTCAGCTCTTGTGGTTCTGCCTTGATTATTTCTAGTATCCTGAATAAGAGATCTGTACAGCAGAAGGAAGGTGGGGGAGGGGAGGAATTAGAGTTCTAGAGCAGGGTTGTGCAGAAAGAGATGGTAGAGCTGGAGCTGGTAGTCTTCAGGATGGAAGGCACAGGAGAGGTAGAATCCCAGTTACTGTTCCCCTAACATTCATTTAGAAGAGCCGTGAGCCTCATGGGATTTTCTCTGAAAATGTGTTGGGGAGTGTTGCAAGATCAGAGACGTCTTTAAATCCTTAGGGACTGGTATCAAATAATCTCTTATTAGGAGCCTGGGCACACCAGCACCTTTCTCAAGGCTGGTGTCAGAAAGTGACCCAGTCAGGGTCCTGATATCTCCCTTAAACTGGTGGTGTGGGGTCTTTTGTGTTTGTTTCCTCATTTGGTCTGCTCACCTATTCCCTGGCCCCCCAGAGAATAGGCCATGAGGTGCAAAAGTTTCTGCCATTAAGTAGCAATTCCATCCTTGGCAAGCTAGAACTTTGCAACGAGGAGGATGAGTCCTGCTCATTTGACAAGATTCACAGATTACTTAGCTGCCATTGAGTTGAGTTTGACTCCTTTTGAATGTATAGACAAACATTCACTGATTTGACCTTTCTTTAGTACCAACCAATTGACATCATGGTTTAATTTTATCCATGAGTCCCAGTCATTGTGGATTGTAGCCATTTCTGGCTTAGTTAGCAAACAGTGGTTTAACACAGCCATAAGCAACCTTTTAGCTGCTAAAATGCTACTTGTCTTTCACATTTTTCAGCCTTGGAGGACTATGAGGACAGTGATGGCTGACATCTCTGGAAGGGCTAGGGTCCAAACTTTGGGGCCCTAATTTTCATGGAGGAGGAGGAAGGGGCTAGTAAAAAAATTTTTTACCCTATTTTCACATGTGTACACTCCCCTCACAAAGAGCTAAGAACTGTGTCGCTGAAATTTGCTGCCATATTTTGGTGGTATAGTCTTGGAGCTCAAAAGTGGGGCTGAGGGTTATATGCAACCCATGAGTTACCCATCCCTGGCTTAGCAAGACTGCCTTTAAACCTGTTTGTGTCTTCCTGCAAAGGACCACCCCCTACTTCCCATCAAACTGAGGCCATCCCTGGAATTTATCTCACCCTCTCCAACTCTGTGATGAGCTTGGCACTATTAGCTGGAAAGTATGATGCCTTGACTTTTTAACTTCAGCGGTTGCTCTTTTTTTCATGCAACTGGATTCTGAGGCTGCCTACTGCGAATGGGCCCTGGCCATGGACCTCTTCCTGCTCTTTGGCCTCTTTGTGGTGGATTTCCGGCACATGGGGGGCTGCTCGGTCCATGTACACCACCGGTTTGCAGATGAGAACTCTCAGCATGTTCAGACATCAGTACAGACTCTTTCGCTCTGATTCTTCTGTAACAGAAGGTGTGTCAGTGAACCTGTCCATGTACCAGGCCTGTTTTTCTGGTGGGAAACATCACCAGGTCCAGCATTTGGCTATGAGGGAAAGAGAACCTAAAATGTTGCCTGACCTATCATTTTCTCATTTGGAAAGTCATCTTAGCTGTGAGTCCTCATCTTGGACCCATGTAATTCTGTTATAGAGCAGAAATATCCCGTGTCCTTTATAAGGGTTCAGCCATTTTCTTCTTCTGACAGGGAGGCTAGCCCCAGTGTTTTTCACCAGAAGATCTACCTGTTATCTCCTTTGTTTGTTCTCTGCAAGCTACTTTTTTTTTTTAATGTATTTAATTTTCTGCTAGTAACCTCCC